ATATCTTCCCATATTAAATTATGTCGAAAAGAATTACTGAATTTCGCTTGTATGCGATCATCAGCCCATAAATCTAGAAGAACACCAGTCTCTTCTTCCGTGAATGCACGTTTCTTCCTTCCTCTTGACGCCATTATTTATTATTGTGTATTATCAGTTCGTTGATGTGTTGATAGATGCCAGTCGTGGTCCTTTGCCTGATTCACACACGCAAATACACTGGCACAAGCATAGATTGTAAATACCGACGGAGACAAAAGTACGTGCATATGTGAACCATGACATTTTTTCTTTAGACTATTAGCCTGCCCAAAAACGTAGGAGCCAGACTACTTTCCCCTCCAGTTTTATATTTTAATACAAATAAAAAAATATATAACGGTCTCACTACACGCCATGTAGGCGCTTGGAGGAGAGCAATGGTACATCTCCTAATCATTCTTAACCTCGGAAAAAAGAAATCAGTGCAATTAATAGATGGGATCAATTACATTTTCAAGCGCGCAACCCTGTGAAGCACTTGCTAAAATAATCCCATCCGTCTATTCACACGCATTATTTTTGTTTAATTGTCTGATACCCTTGTTACTGGCACAGAAGATATCAAATGATACAAGCGATACATCAGGGTAAAAATATCGTTACGAATGCGTCCATATATCGATACATCTTTCCCGCTTTTATTTCAGAATGCTAAAACGAAAATATAGCTTGCTGGTGTAATCCTCCTGTAACAATTTGGGACATCCCTGCTTGCACCTGATAATTAAAATTTCACTGCCATACAGTCCTTATAATAATATTAAATCTGTACTCTAAAATCAATCTCTGGAAACAGTCCCTCCAGGCAGTTACCAGTACCTTAAATTGGTCCATGTCTTCCTTATACATTATTTCCAATTCATTTTCATTAATCTCTGTATTATTTCCTGCTAGAGTTTCAGCTACTGACAATATAATTAAGTAAATCAGAATTAAATAAAATGTGTAAGTGACACACTGCTTTCCAGTTATGTTTTATAATTGCTGCGTCTATCCATATTTTCTTGTTGTCATGCTGCAACAAGCCTCCTTTTCTCAGCCTATCCCATTACCGGCATAATTGTTCTTTCCCTTATACAACTTTCTGGATTTTGCTGAAGTGGGTAAGTGTCATTTTAGCAAAGAAACAGGACCCACAAGCACTGTACAATCTTCCCGTCTCTAAAAGTATATAAAACCCACTGAGAATTTTTTTTAAAAAAATTTTAATCCATTAAAGCATATTTTCCTATGGATACTAGCCTAAGAATGACCATTATGCAGTATTCGCCACTCAAACCAAAGCTAAAGTGTTGAATATTAATGGTTTCATTCTTCCATGTCCCCTGTACATCTTATTCTAGGTTCTAGATTAAGTGTATCTTCATTGTACTGTTTTCAGGTAACACATGTTGAATGCAGATATGAAGACATCGGGATTAATTCTGCTAGTGGTGAGTAGTGAAACTATCATATATTCATACCTTAAATGGGAAATGGACAGACATCCCTCATTGTACTTAATATTAAAGCGAAATGTTCGATGAAAATGTTAAAATGCAAATGTCCCTCACAGAGAACTTTCTCTTAACCTTGGGTCCAGTAGCGAACATGCTAATCACTAGTCCACCGAGGACGACAAAATCAGTCAGTTACTAATGTGTATTTTGGTTTTTATTAAGAAAGGTTCAGTCAGTACAGGTTATGGTTCATATTAATGCGACTAGTTCAGTATATAAAAGGAATTGTCCAATACATACCATATTTTCTTACGTATATGTGCAGTATGTAAAACTGAAATCATATAAAACAGATTCTAACCATGCAGTTCTATTCAGATTCCACCTCTGCATGTTTTAAGAGGATCTGATGCACTGAAAATGTTACAATTCTCTTTTATAAACTGTGTATCATATTTCACAGGGACTAATGGTGAAGCTGTCTACAGGTGATGATGAACAACATGCCTTGTTTTTCAACACAAAGTCACTAGACCCTGTCGACCATTTTTCTCTTGATGATGATTCTGAGGGTAAGAAAGTTATAGAGATAATCATTCAACATATTTATAGATTGTTTTCCTAACAGATTCAAATATTTAATGTGTTGGCTCTTTTAAAAGTGACAAATTACAAAGCGTAAGATTTCTGGTTCTCTGATGACAAGCATGAAGACGACTGTCTTCTAGGATTTTGCATTATGTACTGAAATCATTAAATGTTAAAAACTAACTATAAATGGATTAACTGTATTAGATCTGTATCAGGTTTGTGTTTCAGATTACCTACGGTCCAGCTGGCCACATGTCAGTGCTACCTTAACTATAAATGGATTAACTGTATTTGATCTGTATCAGGTTTGTGTTACAGATTACGTACAGTCCAGCTGGCCACATGTCAGTGCTACCTGCAGTTTCAATCTGGCTGGCAGCCACATATTATGGCCTAAATGTCCTATAATAAAGGCAACTTTATGGATTTCTAAGCCAGAATGACTATTTATTAAATATCAAAACTTCCCTTAGCTAACAAAATACCCTATTTCATGCAGCAATGTCCTCTCAAGAAGATGAGAGCCACTTGGCTGATTAAAAATTCCCTGCCCTTCATAGAACCTAGGACATTATTACTGAGTTCATGGAAGCCCAACACTGGATCCAGTATCCTATTTCATTATGATATATTTTAATGTTAGCATCCCATGGAAACCTAATTCTCATAAGTGGTATCTCCCCTTCAGGTGCACCAGTTAAAATTTTTATATGCATTTCCTATCCATTGCACAGAACTTCATTAAATAAACTTATAAGACAAATAAAGAAGAATCAGTTTTAGGCATGGAGATTCTTACAAGAAACCATGCCTATTTAATTGACTAAAACCCAGTTTGTAAAGTCTAACTGTGCCCATGTGAAATTGTGTTTATCCATATTCGTTACATTTTCCCACTCTACTGCTGCATAGTGATTTGGAATCTATACGAGTCAACTGGTTAATAATGTAAAACTCAGACTAGACAGTCATTACTGTCTAATAATATGCATTTTGGATTAAGTATAAATTATTGTCTTACATTTTACAGGCAGACATATTCGACAAACTGAGTTCACAGTGAGGTCAATACTGGAATGGCTTCAAGGGAGGTACACACAGCCTTCCAAGAAAAGTAAGTTCTTCATTATGTTCAGTCACATATCACAGGTCTTTATGTGTATTGAATGAAAGCGTCTAAGACATTTAAAGAATTGGACAATTGCTTTATACTGAAGTGCCAAGATTGATCACATTGATAGCAGGATTTCAAAACTTCCAGGTGAAATAGATAAATACCCTGTATTGGAAATACTCAGTATTTTACAATTCCAGTAATGGTGGTATACTTAAAGATTATACAGAAGTTCTAGTAAGTGTTTTATCTTCACACTTGCAAAGTTAGAGACAAAAACTGCATGCTATTATGAAATATTAAACACTTAAAGGTATGGATGATAATTATATATATAAAGAATTCTATAAAAGTCATTTGTAATCTGTCTGAAATTTGTTTTTCTTTTTTCAGCTCAAAGGAGTTCTAGTAATCAGGAAGCATCAGCATCACAACCAGCTAGACAGTATTTGCCTGTCCCTGAACAGCCAACCAAAGAACGTCCAAGACCATTCCAACCAAAACCTACGCTGCCTCCCACTCTTCCTCCCAGCTCTCCCTCACAGCCACCAACTATCACTTATATTCCTGCAAAACCCTCCCCTCCAGTAACACATCTTCCTCCAAGTCCAAGCTACCCTCAGCCACCCCCCAGTACACTGTATCCATTTCCTTCATCAGAACCATCTGGCTACCCTAAACCCCAACCCCCTCAACCTCCCTTTCCACCAAGTCCTTACCCACAAACAGAGTATCAGCCTCTGCCAACAACCCTGCAGCCCCCTGGGGAGTTGCCGTACCGACCAACACCACAACCATCAGTTACCACAACAGGACTCATTTCAGACGGAGGTGGGGATGAACAGGTTATAATCGGGACAGAAACTAATGACATCGAGGGTGCCCATCCACCACATATCCATAACATTGCAGTGGAGTGTGCGAAGGACCAAATGACAATCAACTTGGAGTTCAACCGAGAGTTTAACGGTGTAATCTATTCTAAAGTAAGTGCACACATGTCTACTTAACTTAAGATTTTAATTTGTCTAGCTTAATGATACTTTCAATAACTCACACTATATAGTGTCATTACTTTTTTATTCGTTCATTCAGTTATTGGTTAATTCATTCATCAGCTGAGACTGGACATGAATTTGCTGAATCTTTGCAGGGCTTCTACAATGAGGATTCATGCCGCTATGTGAATGAGGGTACTGGTCAGACTCAATTCTCATTTACCGTGCGTCTCAATGCATGCGGCACCCAATTCATTGACGAGTTTAAAGAAGGAGGTCAAGCCTATCTTGAGAATGTGCTTGTGATTCAGAATGAACTAGGCATTCAAGAGGTATGTTATAGCTTCACATATGGTAGTTCTTTGACCAATTGAATAAACATCTGAAGGAACACATTTTTCCATGGAGTTAATTGTAAGTTTTATATTTTTGTAAATAAACTTCTCCTTATCATTATATTTTCTTTCAGGTGTGGGACACGGTGCGTCGAGTGCGCTGCCTGTGGGAAGGTAACATCAGGGAATCACTGTCAGTCTCACTTGCAATTGGAATGCTTAACCAGGAGATTGTTACATTCAGCGGTGACACAGCCATCGCACATCTTGACATACAGGTACGTAATACTAACGTTCCATCTGGCCCATCAAAAACGGCCACAAACATCTAATGTTTTTATGTAAAAAAAGTAGCATGATGAACTTATAATTTGTTTAGATAAGTATAATATAAAATGGTTTTATCAAAATCTGTGGAGAAACTGCTTATGTTTCAAAAAGTTCATGGAGGGTGTTATCGTATAACACAGGCCCTAGACTCAGTGAAGTTTTCTATCAATTTAATATCACTGGCTTATGGCACTCAGTATATGTCATGACACTTCTGCTCACATGTCTCTTCTAATCTTCCTTGAAATGGGACACTCAAGTGCAATAAAGAGATATTTACATTCCAGTCCCTTGGAACTGTCTTGCTCCTTGATACGCTCCATCCTTCCTTCGGTTAATGAATGGTTTTGGCTTCTGATCACACAATGAATGCACCTGTTAAGTTTTTAGGGTTCTCAAGCTGCTTCTTAAGGGACTAAATAAAATAGTGTGCGTGTGGTTACATTTGAGTGGCAAGCCTGTAATATGACTACATTTTAAAGTTTATTATGAACCCTGTTTTCACAAAAGACAATTAATTGAAAGTAACATGTCAAAAATCTTGGTGGTTTTCAAACTAAACATACAGGAATAGTCCAAAAAAGATGACAAAAGATTAATAACATTTAGATAAAAATGGTCTGACTGTGTGCGAAACAAGAAAGTCAATGTTTTGCTCTGTGCTGCGAACTTTTAAAATATGAACACTTAAACAGACACATTAAATTTTCCAATTTTCTAAAATGAAATAAAATGTTACTGATCTCGGCCCCATTTCTTCAGGTTGCCATGACAAAACATTAAAGTTAACACTGGTTCAGACTTTATCGTCTTTTGCATCATGTCTTATCCAGTTTTATGTGCATCACGCTAGGATATTGTTAAACCATTAACCAAGGAATTAAAATGTCCAGCCAGCAGCCTTGTAGTTCATGGGATTAAATCACTTTTTACCATACCACAAAGGTTAATATTATTTCATATTAATATTTTACAATGTAGTAAACTTCACAGTCCAAACAGGAATGATTCAAGCTGTCATGATAATCTTCAGGCATTGCTCCTCTTGATTTGGAACTGCTACCTAGACTTAGATTTACATTGTTCTTCTCAGCCCCAGAAACCAGCTCCAAACAAGGCACCATTCATCATTATACGTCCTTTATCATGTGCATTATTATAATATTATAATTTATTCAGTAGAATGCCACCCTGAGATTTATAAAGCAGTTTAAATAACCAAAGAAAATTATTGTCTCCAGCATTGGTTTGATAAGTCAGACCTGGAAACACTATACAATATTGTCACATGCATCCAGACCACTTGCACTTGAAGGACATTAAATTTAGTGTTCATCTGTTTATGTGCAGATGGGGCGTGGACCATTTGCTCCAGCAGCCAATGGACTTGTGACGATTGGGGAAACCATGACACTTGTTGTGTCTGTAGAAGGTGACCCAGGATTTGATATTCAGGTGAGAAAACATACTCTCAGGCACACTCACAGCATCCTTGGAGAACACCTATTAGATTCAATGTCTGACCAACCGTCCATTCACCTGTACATCTGCCTATACTCATAAAACATCTTAACCGCCAAATGGATTTATATAAAATTCAGAATGGACGACATGCCACTGACGGCTACTCCAAACTTGTATGTTTATTTCCTATAATCATTAATACCAACATGACAGATACTCAAACTTGAAAAATGAGATGGTAAAGCTCTGTGATGATGCTATTATTCACGATTCTATAAGTCCCCTGATGATGTCATCACTACCTGATAGCATTGTCACCCCGATGATATGACATGTATGAACACATATAAGAAATGCAACAAAACATTTAGATAAAGTGAGGAATATATGAGAAAACATAAGGAAAATTCAAACTGGAAATGAAAAAATAATATTAGAAGAGAGAAACACAGAAGTTGACACACCAAGAAAGTAAAAAATTAAAGTAACAGCTGCAGAAAATATATAAAATTTGAAAAGTGTTTATTTTTTAGAGAATTAAATGTCCTATGTCCTAGATATCTGATAATTGTTGTTGCAGAGCATAAAGAACCTAACCTACAAATAAAATCTGCTCCTCCCTACCTCTAATGTTAAAAAGAGTGACACTGTGTGAGTAAATTCAGTGATAAAGGTAGAGTGAAATTTACATCTGTTTCAGGTGCGGGACTGTGTGGCAAGAGATGTATCCTCTGTAAACGTGTTAAAGCTTACCGATGAGCAAGGCTGCATTCTGCGCCCAAAACTTTTTGGGGCATTCCAAAAAACAAGGAATACAGGTGCTTCTGGGGCATCCATTATTGCTTATGCTTTCTTCCAGGTGTAGTATATCATTTGTTATATGTTGACAAAAATTGGAAACTTCCACTTGGTCTTAAGTTTTGTTTGTAAATTTTACTTGTGTTTGTACAGGCGTTCAAGTTCCCTGATGTGATGGACCTAACCATAGAGTGCAATGTTGAACTATGCAAGACAAACTGTGAGAGCTGTCCATTACAAGGACAGGTATGAGCTATCTATCAAGTGGATAAGAATAAATGTAGCACTTAGCAGGCACAAATGTATTTTGTGTACTCACAAAAATTCACAGTGATGATGCGCTATTTATGGTCGAAGTGTCCTGTTTAGGTAAATGCTGCTGAGTTAGTTCAGTATGCAAGGTAAAAAATGAACATTTATAAACCATACTTACACGGATCACTGCTAGTCTAATGCACGAATATTGTAAATTTACAAAAATTATACTGGATCACTGCTAGTCTAATGAAGGAATATTGTAAATTTACAAAAATTATACTTCAGTCAACACTCTGAAACGCTGATAACACGTTATGTGTGTCCTTTGTGTGTTAAGTGCGCCATTTATGTTTTGCAGATGTAGTTGGAAATCAGGGAACTAACAACCCCTTAATGATAAAAATCTAGTGTGTCACGAAGTCATAACCTCACATTTTGACAAATATCTTTGGCTAAACGGGAGGTGCCAGCTGATTCAGGATAGGTCCCTGTGAACGTGAACCTTTGGGTTCTATAGAAAAAGGGGAATACAAGGACCAGCTTAAAAACTACGATTCATGGACTAAAACATTAAACTTTATCACTGACTAATAGCACTGCTTTTTTGGCTCTGAAGAATGTTTTGTGATACGGACACAATGAAGTTATGAAAACATCTCATGTTCCTTAAGTACACATTCTACTAAATCCATTAACTTTGTTTTGTTAAATAACATACTGAAGAAAATTTCTTTTTCAGAATATTGACCCTGCTCGAAGAAGAAGACGTGACATATGGGTAAACAATTCAACCCTCAGTGATCCTGTGCGAGTGTTAAAAACATTCAGGGTCATAACTCCTGATGACCTTGAAGAGGCTGTCAGAGGTTCTACAGTTGTCAATGTTGGATCTGGTTTGTATTTGTATAGCTCTATTGTACAATGAGAGGAATAATCTTTACCTACTTGCGTGTCTCAAATAATACTGTAGCTCGACACATAATCAGGATACCCAAATGGTTTCATACCTCAAACCTAAGGGTGATACACTGTTAGAGCTTCACAAGCCATCAGTCTTGAAACTTGAAAGGATAATTTTAAAGAATGTACATAATTTGTTTATGAATTGTCCTAAATTCCTTTTCATGAAAAGTAAATGTTTTCAGCAATTGACACTATTAAGTAGATAAAGTGTAATCATAAAATCCTTCAGCAGAGGCAATTGGGTACTGTTTTCCAGAAAAGACCATGACTTTATATAATGTACAGTTTCCTGTTTATCCTGTAACTTTGGACATAAACAATAGAGCAGAACAGGATATGGGCTTTCCTAGAAGATAACAATTAAGTAGGCTGAGTTTAAATTTTAATTTGCATTCTTAACGCAGTATCTGATGTCAAAAACAGTGGACTCACATTCAGGATTCCCAAACTGACTTCTGTTATAATCTCTGCCAGAGATTAGATTTTGGGAATGAGGAGAATACTGGAACCTTGTAAAGGTTCAAAGACCACATTACACTGCATGTTCTGTTTCTTGATTATCCTTTTCATCATCAACCTGTCACTGGAGCAGCAAAATGTACTGCAATGGTTGTTCCAACACAAAAATGAAATGTCTATAACTGGAAGCTGTGCCCACGAGCAAACAAACATTTTTAACAAGTTATGAGAAGTAAATTTGTTTCTGTTACAGAAATTGAGGGAGTGTGCATGTCTCTGCCAGGCTTCCTGCTTGCTGCAATATTTCTGCTGTCCATTCTAGTGGGCTCCTGTCTTCTCTGCACATATTTCTGGTTTAAAATGCAGAGAGGCACAAAGGCAATTGAAGCTGCCAAGACTGTCCACCTGGAGACATTTCCTATCTCCAAAGCTTGATGAAGACGTGCCAGTGCGATTTACCGCAGTTAAGTTAACTATTGCTTCTACTGTCAGTGTAAACTTGTACAATGAACTTGCCAGGGTTTCTGAAATTGTCGCTCACTGGAAAATCCGAGTAAACAACGAAAATCATATTGATAAGCTTAGAATTTACATGATTCATAAACTGATTAATAACCCAGCATTTTAATTGGGTACTCGAAAAATAGTAAGCATTGTATTCCATTCTTCATACTTTGAAACGAACACAACTGCCAAATGTAGTTACGGAAAAGGGGTTAATCACAGCTTGGTCTCATTTATCCAGCTGCAGGTTGTCTCGGTTAAAGAAAATTAATCTTACTTAAACGCAATGACCACATCTCATTTACGAACACTGTACACCACGAAACAATGCACTAATGAGTTGGGAAAAAAAACTCAGTAAATGTCCTTGTTGCATGACAGAAGATTATTGAGGATTTGAGTCATGACAACTGTAGACAAAAACATCCAAATGTCTCAAGTCCAAACATGAACGAGTTACTCAGTGCGGACTAAAAGTTCTTAAGGTTTATTAACCACCTGTAACGCCAAACTACAGACCAGCACTGCAAAGACTTGGATCGATCAATAAACATAACTTCATCAAGACATCATAAAGCGAAATATGTCTCAACATTTTGAGTTCAGTCAGAAACAGCACATTACGTATCGGTCTGTCAGTTCTTGGAATTTTGTCACATTTTTTTCTTCTGATATTGGCTTTTGATCTTGCCTACCCCATATACTTTTTGGTTTTATTTCAAGGTGTCTGGTTTTAATTATGGCAATGTTGGTATTTTGTGGTCATGTCATTAAATTACTTTTTTTTTTAGTTGATTTATTTTTTCATATCCCCAGTTTATCTTTGAAACTTGCAATATACATTACCTCAGTCACAGCTGCTGCTGTACAATTGTGGACAGAAACTGATCTACATCAACGACGTACCCCTCCCATCAGGTGTTATGACTAATATTTTTGTTTGCATTTCTTGTGGACATTATTACACTTCCCAGGCTAAAAATACATTTATAGTGTGAGTGATTCTCTAAGGATAGAAAATTTATTTATCAAGTAGCAGAACTTGAGCTGAGTAGATAATAATCTCAAATCAGATTACAAATAAAGTTTACAGTTTGTAGAAGGAAAGCTATGATTAATGCTGATAGTACAATATCTAAAACAGTGATTCAGATCAATATGAATGTGTGGGTTACCAGATTTAAAACAGTCGGCCATCAGAAACACGAGTGAAGAAGATGAAATAACACCTGTTACCAACAATTACAGGATGACTCTCAAAGACAAATTTACAAGTATAAATGACTGGAAAGAAAAACAAAAATGCGTGGGCCACCAGGAATAAATTCAAATGTACATTTACTACAGACAGTTTTCATCTTTTATTCACAATTATATATTTCAACTCATTCGGACAGAAGCAGACATTTTCAGAACAGATAATAACTGAGTACAAAGGACAGGAAGGTTTTCTAAAATCAACAACTGTCCATGTACAATTTATAGAAATCTGTGTAAGACTTGAGGTTCTCACAGCGGTGAGTATGAAGATTTCCGATCTATTTGCAATTTGCATACAGAAACATATCACACCATAAATGCAGTCAAGAACCAGTTCTTCAGACTGTCAGAAATGTGATGAATGATTGTGTTTGAAAATTGTTTTGAGATTTTATACATAATAGGAAACTCCCAGCAATAATATTTTAAGGTAAATTATAGTTATGTAAGATTTGAGGTTTACACGGTGGTGAGTACAAAGATGGCCGTCTTCTGGGTTGTTGCACCGTGTAGTCTGGTAGAAGTTTACCGACCTCTGAAACGTCGGTAAACTTCTACCAGATTGCATGGCGCAACAACCCAGAAGACAACAATCTTTAAATTATCGTTCAAAACTGTAATCTACAACTGAGCTGGTAAAACCTATTTGTTTTGAACATAATAATTCCCATTATGTGTCTGTCGTGACAGTTATGCCGCAATGTCCATAAAAGCGAAAAGATTTACAGCACTGAATACCATGGAAACTAAAAGCCACTACTGGTATACTTTGTTTAGATTTCCAAACACTGGTTTACATATTCACACATAGATCCATGCATAAAAATTCAATCTTTATGTATACTTTTATTCTTGCATTTATAGATACGCCAACTGCTCTGTACGTGTCTCACACACTGAGGTAAAGTAAAGTAAAGTAAAGTTTGTCCCGCTATACGCCATATAGGCGCTTGGGGGGAGTGGATGTATAGCTCCTCCCTTCCTTGACCTCGGCACTAGATGGGGGTGAGTCGTCAGCATCACGCCCCGGCCGGCTTTACCCCCGGGAAAGAACCCCAGTACCCATTGTAGAGGAGGCTGGGTGGGCCCCAGAGCCGGTCTGGACGCAGAGGCTAGAGGAAAAATCCTCTGCCCCCGTCGGGGATCGAACCCCGGTCGTCCAGCCCGTAGCTAGTCACTATACTGACTGAGCTATCCCGGCTCATCTCACACACTGAGGTGGGATGTTTAAATACCTTCCAAGCCCAATCTGTTAAAACAGTGCCCAAATGAATACTTCATCTCTTTGTGCATTTAGTGCTTACAGTTTTATTCACACAATTAATTCCTTTGGATAAATGAGAGTCTCCTGTAATTAATATTATAAAACCTATCAACCAACCTGTTTGAAAATGTGATATATATCTGGCAACCGAGTATCTGAGAATTTTATGTAATATATATTGCTAGTACTTTGCAGTCAGAACTGGTGTTCTTTGCACTTCCCCAGAAAGCATTGAATGGTTGGATGTTTTCTTTGCACTGTAAATTATGGGAATGAAAATGTTTACAAAATTTTAGTGCATTTGGATACTTTCAGGTCTGAGTTTTAAGCACAAAGGAAAGCTACAATTTTGGATGACCAATGCACTGAAATAATTTTCATTACAACCTAAATGCATTGGGGATTCCTGAAAAGTTGAGTAACTTTTCTATAAACATCAAATGCAACTTGGATGTCACGTATTCATATGAAAAACAATCAGATATAATTATCGGTTTCTTTGCATGAATCATTTTTATGCAACATTCAATCACAATGCAAAAGCTCTAAGTTGTAATATCGTAATTACGGTTCTTTAACTTGTACATCGTCACGCATACGTTACACTCCGGCTTTTATGAAAGAAGATTTAGCATGTTTGTTTTCCATAAAAATTCTTACTGAATTTTTGATGTTCCACCACAAATCATGCTAAAATTTCAGTTGGTGTGATTTGTACTTTTATTCATACTGCCCCCAATTTAAATCTCGTATTTATCATCTGTAGCAATGCAAGTACAAAATGTGTACAATCAGAATGGAATCTTTTAAGACAAATGATTTTAATAAAAAGTGGTTCAGAGTATAACAGAAGACCAGAGCAGAGCAACAGGAAGGAAGTTTGACATCGCTGAGAGGCTGGAGGCACTACGGACAGGGTACAACATAGATTAGGCCTGTGTTTCTTTAAGAATAAGTTATCTGTCATATATTTCTAATTAATTTTATAAACACGTATTTTTAACTGAAATCCTTCACTAATATAATTTCTAGTGTGCAACAATTCACTGATTCTTTTTATATTCCTTTAATATTTGACACATGACCTCAATTCTTGCAACTTTATGTTTAATTATATCTGATTACTGATTATATAAGCACACAAAAAGAATATACATTTCTGTTACTGAGAAGATTAATCCTTTAATCCTTGTAAGTGTTGTACATCTGGTTTCAACAAATGTGCTTACGCATCTTTAAATCTTTAACATCCAATTTCTCACTAATAGAGTGGAACATGATACGATGCAAATCATATTTATATACGTTTATGTGAAACACAGGAATTTATCATTGCATGTAACTACCCACTGAGGATGAAGTTTTCTTTTCTATGACTGCATGTGTGAATTTATTTTTGCCATCCAGCACATAAGGTTTAATTTGCCGACATCGTACACTGCAAAAAACAACGCTTTCACGTTGAAAGAATTACATATTTCTATATCATAAAGGCATTGCATACCATGTGGCAAGACATAATAGTACATATGAAAGTCACCTTGAAAAGTTCAGTCTGGAAATGATCCAAAAGTGCAGTACTGATCCTCCTGACACCAACGCCAAATGTCAAAATGCCCAGAGAATCAAACATACGTAATCTCATGTTATGGTACCCCTTCAACCCACCCTTTCTCCACTTACAGTACAATTCTATTATCATTTTGGTACGTGAAGATACTTAACAATACTATTAGCAATTCTCAGTAGTTAATAATTTTTGTGGTTTCGATATAATTCTTTAATCTGTGCCATACATTTTCTTTACAGATATATTGTACAGTTGTGACCTATGTATGTTTTCTAGAAAAATAAATGTTCTTTTATAAACCACAAATACAAAATATTTTTCTACCATATCAACTTCTCAGTTAATTGTGGTGTTGTGTTTACATAAATTATGAGATATTACACAAATGAATGTGGTCATGAACGTTTCCACTTCCTTTCCAATCTGTCGTATATAACCTTACCCTAGTCTACAGATGACTCCAAGTATCTGATAATTTTGACTCATCACTCCTAACTTGAGAGACTCAACTCTGAACCAGTTCAGTAAAGTTTACATTATGAAACTTTATTTATAGGTTTATTTTAATTCATTCTTCCAACTCTGACGTCTTCAAGTGATCAGTCCCCCCCCAAAAAATACAGTATACTGTCCTTCCTCTCTGGCATATCTACAAAATCTGGTTTTAAAATTGCAGTGGTACTATATAAATAATTTTCCTTGTTATGTATGACACGACATTTTCAGCTGTTCTTAGTGAAGTAAACTAAAGCTATTCTTCTACGCACAAAGCAGGTGCTCAGGGGGAGAGGAGGTATAGCTCCTACTCATTCTCAACCTCGGCACTAGATGGGGTTGAGTGATCAGGGTCACGCCCTGGCCGCGCTTTACCCCCTGAGGAAAGGATCCCCAGTATCCATTGGACAGGATGGGTGGACCTCGAAGTCGGTCTGGATGCAAAGGCTAGAATAAAATCCTCTGCCCCCGTCGGGGACCAAACCCTGATCACCCAGCCCATAGTCGGTCACTATACCGACTCAGCTACCTGGATCTTACACTGTTTTCAATTATAAGTTAATTAATTCCATGTAGCAGAGACTTGTATAAGAAGCTAATAGTCACTCAGCTAGTGAAGAAATTCCATACCATTTATTGAACCCAAAGGTTTCTCTGTTCACCACAGCCTGCCAGTGGTCCCTATCCCGAATATGATGAATCCTGTCCACATCTTCATAACCTACTTCCCTAAGAAACAGTAACAATTTTTGTGTGGGTTGCTACGATTATCCACACCTATAAGACTTTCATCAGGATGAGAGGATAAATTTTAATCCTCAGAGACTTGTAATTAATGTGCATGAGTGAATATTTTATCCATGTGACATTAAAAAAATATGTCTTGGTTTTGGTTCACACAAACTGGATCCACCTCATGTGTAACGTACTACACCGTCAGGCATACGGTTGTGTAAACTGACACTTTGGACGTCACGGACTCAGGTTTTTTATTACTTCCAGAAAACAGTAATTGGCTGTGGTGCGATGGTCAAGCATCAAAGCTGAAGAACAGACACATACAAGATTCCTGAGAATCCAATAAAATAATAATAAAAACAAAAGAAGGCAAGACACGCCAAACACTGCGCAATACAAACATTTATCACATTCACTTTTATTACAACTTGATGATAATGGAACTGACTTAATATGTTGAGCCTCAAAGTACAGCTTCAAGTTGAACACATCTTCCTGCAAGACAAGTCTATTTCTTTAAAAATATATTTATTTTCACTTGATTCTGACTTTACATCGCCATTTCAAACTTCGGTAGGTTACGTTCAGACACAATTAATTAAAACATGATCGTTAGGCAAAAATGAACATACACAATTGTGTTAACAACGTTGAGGGAGGACACGTGATGTATCGATAACGGAGACAGAAGGATTTTAATGGTCAAAATTAATCAAATGGAAAAGAAGACAAATTCTTACAGTAGTTACACCAGGATATGGGGTGCCACACAGTGGTACTTGCCTCTTAAATGTGCAACTCTAAATAACCCAACAGTGAAATGTTATAACCTGGTTTCCCATAGGGAAATAGGCTTTACTCTGGACTGTGCTGCCCATGTTTACTCGACATCACTGCAAGAATCGAGAAGAAGCACCAGAGTTTAGGAAATATAGTTCTGGAATAGCATTCACATATTTAAAAATCACAGTGAAGTTATGTAGCTTCTTATCCGTATGTTATCAGTTTACCTGCTCGAAGATGTGGTGGACTTTTCCTTGGTTTGCTGCGTAATTTTACGACCTAGCAGGTCGTAGCCTGAAGGACACGGCAGTTCTTGATCTGTGTCCGAGCTCTGCTCGCTGTCGCTCGAATCAGGATACAAACCCAAACCGGGAAGAATACCGATACATCGCAGACCCACAGCAGTTGAATCGCCATTTTGTATTTCTTCATCGCGATTCTTTCTCTTTTTCGACGCGCTCTCGCCATCTTCGCTTGTGCCAGAGATCTGCGTTGGTGTAACCTGAATCTGCGTAGAATTTACATCTTGACTCACTGCTACACCATCTGCAAAATGTTACACATCATTACATCTGGAGTTAAAATGTTTCTGAAGAAGAGGGTGAACCACAATTTTTGTGTCCTACCGAATGTCTACAGATCAAGCCAATGCTCAGGCACTTGAAGAACGGGTCGTTCCCAGTATCCTATATACTACAATGGGTTCCAGGGGCCCTTTCTCAAGAGGCAAGATGGCCACAACATAAGCATCCACCTAGTAATGACGTTAAGAATACACGGTGTTCTATCTCCATGCCCTCTTCATCTTCATGGCACAAGGATTATGCTGCCTTAAATATAAAGTGTTTAGAGTAACACAACAAACCTTTGTTTTCACCACAAAATTTCTTGTTGGTCGCAGCCTGGGTAGAAGCATCACCCGGTTGCTTCCTGACTACTGCTCCCGCCAGAAGCCGTACCTGTGAGCTGCGTCCACTGTCACATCACGTAACAAGCAAAACTTTCAGCGAGGATCACAACTAAGCACTTGCCTTATAATTTTATTTCATAAATTAAGAAAAAATTAGCATGTTTTAAAATATCTATTAACTTTCACATGTTTTCTCGTACTAACAGTATAAATTAACTCATTTTCTGCGCAGACATAGTTCTCAGAGGGGGGGATGTCTTAGATTCAGATTTGTTCCAACTGCCATGATTTAACTTGTGTTTTTATATATAGAGCCAAATTTTCAACCCAATTTAATAAGACAGGAAACAGTTAAATATCACTGGGTCAAATTATTTGATATATTTAATATTTACTCATGAATCCTAACAACTTTTTGTGGTAACAGACATTGCTAGGGAAATGCGAACCCTTAATTTATTTAAAAGATAACGGTCCTTTCAGTCGCAAGTCGCAGTCTCTCTCTCCGTATCAACTAACTGTTGGATCACACCGGCTGGCGTCTAATACCAAGCAAAATTAGTAGCTACCTGCCAGTACCACTTTGGATGGGAGGACGAGAATGAATTTCAGTGTGAATTCTTTGCTCCAATGACTGTTCCTGCAGAATTGCAACTGCATCTCGGAAGTCCTTTATCTCACGCGCCTCTTCCGCGGACTTGCGCCTCTCCTCTTCCAATTTACTGCGATCAACAAGGTCCAAGAATTCCACCTCATCGTCATCTAGACCTTTTATCATGTTTTCTGTGAACAATTAAGATCAATATGAACTACGTAAGATTCGAAGAAAGGTATTTGGAAACTGTATTTGTGAGATATATGTCATGTGGAAATGCAAGACACAAGAAGCACATACAAAATAAATACTCATTTTTAAGTTGCATTGAAGTTTATATATAAACTTGCAAATATTAATACATAGTTGGTGTAATTATTAATTTAAAAATATCCTTTGTTTAGAAACAGTAAGAATTAGGCTTAAACAAAAAGTCTTCCAGCACCGAATCCTGATTATAGGGGTAACTGGCTACAGCATCCCTGTAACCCAGCTACAAGTCTCATTTCAAGGGCAACAACTCGCTCCATCGCCGAAAAGCCAACAATGACAAGACCTTAATCCAGGTAAACTAATTTTACTTCTTAATGTTGATGCAGTTTCATTCAACCATTCTTCTGTGACACAACTGTTGATATATTTCCCATTACTGAAATATTTTCTATGACAAAATGTCACAGATGAGTAGGTCAGCACCTTTGCTTCCCAGGTTAAAAAAAAGTCTCCACCCACAAACTGGCCATCTTCATGGAAGTTTTTCAGTTTCTCCTCAGTTCCTCCCAGCAAATACCTTACATCAGGTTGGTACCACTTCCTTCAATTTATCATCCAATACTACATCATCAAAAAATATTCCAATTATAAGTTGCACCCTCTTTAAGGAAATGTAGATTGGGGGGGAGGGGGGGGCATAGTTTATACAACCACATTACATAAAATTAAAGGACCCAAAAAAAAAACAATTACTAGATGGAAGGCATCACAAAGATAGGAAAAGAATACGAACCTCACACTGTGACCTTCCTCAGTTAACAAATGACCGAAGAAACACTAGAAATATTTTTTTAAGTTTAGTTTTACTTTGCAAAATATCAGTTTTTATCTCTTAACTTTTGACATAACAGTGTGACTGCAATAATACCTACACTTCATGGTCCATCTATTGAGCATATAGGAAGAACTGTAGTAATTCACCATTACTACGAAGGTGTGATTAAGCCCTATTCAGAGCCACTTGAATCCAATCAACGCACCATTTCTTTAAGATAACATTAAACACTGACCCTCTATGCTCAAATCTCCATGCATTCTAAATTTCCTACCCATCTCATTCTCCTTGATTTAATTACCCTGTTAACATTTGGCGGAGAATACAAATTATGAAGCTCTTTATTCTGTGAGTTTTTCCAATTGCAATATTGCAGTGGAATTCCTCTGATCTCCTAGCCAAAATATTAGGTGTCAACACTACACAGATTATAAAGCACAATTTTATTTTCCATGGTCTTCAATGTTACTCCACAAATCTCATAAAATGACACATCCTTACACTGCACACGATTTTGAAGTTTCACACTTATTTACATTCCTTCTTCCTTCATTCACATTTGAGAATGTGAGATGTACAATAGGTTTCTCCGCATGAATAGATGAAAATACATCAATATTTTACAACAGTGAAGCTTTGCATACAGTCAATACAGTACTGATTATATAAGATAGGGTGACAAATTTAGCTTGCCTGTGAATGTAATTTTGACTTGTTACTTTCGGTCTCAAATATCTGAACGTTACCTTTATATTATAATTTTGGCCCGCATACTTGTGATAAGACATATACATACTTTTAGTTTCTTCTGCATTTATTTGTACACAAACAACCTTACTAGCTTTTTACGATTCCTGTGAAAGTTTCAAATGTCAAAATGCCAGATGCTGTTGTGATTCCAGGTAACTTACTTAGCTTGTGTGCTTCTTCATATTCAAGTTCCCGTTTTTGTTTCTGTTCTTCAAGACGTTCAAACAGTGAGCGATGGTCATATTCTTCCTCTGGACATTCTGAAAAGTAGCCATCATCCAATACATGACTACAAATTCTGGAAAGTAATACTCAACACACTGAGAAAAAATAAGTACTAGTTAAGGTTAGGAGTAGTCAACTTAAAACATAAACCGTCAAAACATTTCAGATGTATGAACCACGCCAAGCCTTCAACAGAATTGTGTGTGTGCTTTTATTCATTTATTCCACCCACCTTCGGGTTGGTCCGGCTTTCGAACCTTATCCCATGCTTCTTGTCGAATTCGCCGTTGCTCTGCTAATTCAGCTTCCGATATGAAACCAGAACTCATTGTGGAAGTTCACCTGTATCTACCTTACATGAAAGCACTATCGGAACTCAGACAACCTAATAACAAATCCCACAAACTCTAAACAAACATACACTAGTCTTAACCATAACAGTCACACGATTTATGAAACTACAGGAGGCAATGATTTTAGAATATGTAACATATAGTTTAGACCGTTAATTTACTTTCTAGATCCAACCTCACCTCTCGCCAATATTCACGCAACAAGGTCAGACAATACCAACATAGAAACGAGTGTGCTACCAATAGATTAATACTGCAATCGTTGCAATTGTAGGTGCCAGATTATCTACGGGTGCACACTTGGTCAAATGCAAAAGGTTGCTTATCCTTGTATAGCACGCTCAACAGTAGCTGAAGAACCCCACATCATAACGTCCGTACCAAATTTCATCTAAATCTATCCAGAGGTCTTGCACTCGGGCAGATGGCGTCAGCCCCTTTTCCATTCATTTAATGTAAATAACACAAAAACAACTAAACCGTTGCTAGTAGAATTTGAGGTTTTCAAGGTGGTGAGACTGATTATAAAATTCTGCATCGTTGGCTTAGGCTATCAAGGATCCATGGAAAAAAATATTTTCTATTCGTTTCGAAACAAATATTGTCTGCAATTCTTGAAAACTCCATGTAAGATTTAGGAAATGAGGTTTAAAGAAAAAAATATAAAATAATTCCAGTATTTAATCTGAAGTAAATTCTAAATTTAATGTATCATGGATGCCTCCCTCTTATTTTTATAATGTATTTCTGGATGTAGATGATTTTTATGGATTCCTAGATCTGGGAAGTAGCAGAGAAACTTTAGAAAAGATTCATTCTGAAATTGTATAACATCACACAATGGTCAAGGTCCAAAAATAAAATCTGGATTATATTACATCATTGTAAGCTTCAAAATAGATTAAGCAAAAACCAGTTTTCTGTACCTGAATTAAGCTATTCAGCAATCTTCCCAACACTATAAAAATTTTAAATTATGATATAAATAAGTTATGCTAGCACCAAAAGAGTATCTCCTACCTCACCCCTACTCCATGTAGTCTGGTAGAAGTCATGGCTGCCTCCATCATCAGGGTGCTGAGTCAACATTCTTGATTACTATTAGGATTTTCAGATGGTAACACTACAATTTTAAATTTCAACCAAATAGGTCAACCATTATCATGAACTTCAGGGATCAGACTCATTAGTCTGTTCTGACTCCCAACAATAATCTCCTGGAACTGGTCTCTCCATCTTTTTCACAGACCTTCCTATTTCTCGTTTTCCCTTCCGAAAGTAATGATGAGAAAACAAAAATTACACAGCCAATTTATGAGTTACCCATTCAGCCCCAGATTGGGATCCAATCATAGTACATCACTTCTGCAGTGTATAAGTAAATAAATAAAAACTGTGGTGACTTTGTATATTTATTTTCAAGCTGCACATTTAAATATTTCATACAAATTTCAAACAACAGAGACAGGATACAAAGAAAACTTCTGTAATAACATCCATATTACTGAACACCAAATTTTATAAGTGAACCACCAAATGTTACAATTTTTATGTAATGAATAAACTTTCACACGGGAATTTCATAATTGAAAACTTGAAAGGTTTGCATTTACAGACTCCTAACACCAAACTCTCCGGTACTAGACACCCAAGTTTCAACAATAATAACGAAAAATATTGCAGTTGGTCCTGCTTCTGAATTAGTCAACATCCCTACATTCTATTACCCAAAAGTATATTGTCATATCATCCTTCCATCTATATTTTCCGAGTGGCTGGTTTCTTCAATGTCCATCCAGAGATTCTACATTTTCTCTCCCTTCTCAATTCAAAGACAGACCAACATTAATCAACATCCCTATTTCTCATAATGTTCACTATGCCATCATCATTGAAGCATAAAGGCATATGCATAGTAGTTCAGCAATTTGCAATGCCATTGTGGAAAAACATTATACAACCCAATCTTCTACATATTTTTTGGACATCTGTCCATCAGTGAAGCTATATAAGCTGTATTCACATAACCTGCTTAATAAAGTAACAAATATAAATTTTAAAGAGTAATGACTTCTGTGCAGAACTCAAAAGGTTACTTCTTCCTGTACATACGCAGTTCCTAAGCTTTTATGCCACTTAGGTAAACACATGACACATGTTGGAAAGTAGCGGCAGGAGTCACTGACTTATCAATCACACTTACAAGGCTCACACCACAGCATGCAGATGCATGACAGATCCTTTTACCTGCATCTAAACAGGATTTGAAAACCTTCCAACAAATAACACAGCGTTTGCTTCTGCAAGTACAAACACAAATGGATGGTCGGCTATAAAATTTGGAGGCTGCAGAAAGTTCAGTGAACACTTCATAAATACCATTCCTGTTACAAACAAACAAAAAAGCAAAAGTCAGTACAATGTCCTTTATCGACCCACCAACACCTCAGGTGTTCGCTTCATATTTACCAAGTGGCGGTCCAATAACGTTGTACAAGCAGGCAGTAGAAACTGTTACTAACACTGGATTCCTGGAATTGTTGATGGAGCTCTCTACATTATAAGCCAAATTATTCAGCTGTTTGCATACCACATTCACATCGAGTAAACCGTGTTGGAGCATTGGGTAAAGATTTACAGTCAAATGAAAATGTTCAGGTTATCCACAGCGCAAGTAACTGAGAGTCTACTTTGTTCAGCTGTCACAAATATAAGCTACACATCAGATCAATAACATAACTTATAAGAGACATTGTACATGGCCAGATCTGGAAAACGGACGTCTATTCCGTGAGAGATCGCTATAATTATTCTTATATAATATCTGTGGAAGTTAAAACAAATGTGTCTGAGGATCACACTGAAGTTATGTATTTTTTAGTAAAAATGTTTATTAACTGACTGAAACATAAATTGATGTTTAAGTCTAAACCTAGTCACAGACATTTAAATGCGTATCTGTCCCTGTTTTAATCTTAAACTGGCAAAGTCTGCAGAATAGACAACATTCTCAGTTTATGATTTTTTTTTGAAGGGTGTATTACTCTCTCATCTGTTACGCTGGAAAGTAGTTCGCATTTCACATCACTGTCCATTATAAATAAATTAAACATGCAGCCTACAAAAACATGCAATCCCTTTTTCAATGCAAAGTCTTTTTTTTTTTTTTTTACCTGTATATTAAACATGTGAAAATCGTCCAGCAAACAAAAATATTTCTGATTCATTGTTGTAGATCACAAAGACAAATGGATGGTTGGCAGTGAATTCTCTGGGAGACGACGGCGCGCAGCACATAGCCATATAAACAACTGGGAACCAAGGAGAAAGTCTTGTCATATGCTACAGATCTACAAGACAGTTTGTGTGCAAGCAGTGACCAATAGCAGTAATACGTCATTGCTTTTCTTAGTCTACAAATGTAAGTGCTATCAGATTTTCTTTTTCTGTATCAACTAAGTGACAATGAAGACTACGACAAAATTATTCTCACAAATATACGTGTAGCTGATGTTATAGCCTGTCCTAAATCGATCTTACACTCAACAAATGGACATTCTTAGTAACTACGTACAAGCATATAGACATTTCATTTGTCCCCCAGTCTCTGTTCCAACCAATGATAACACAACATGACGTCAAGAGAAAAGTCTAGTTTATTGAATTTCATAGTACAAAGAGGTTGAAGACGTGACTAGACTCTGAAAATCATAGAAGTGGACGTAAAAGTACTGATTGGCTCGGTGATTTATAACACTTCATGAGGTGCTAATATTACCAAGAATTAAGAAAACTGGTGAGGTGACTGACAGGGGATACCAGAAGTTCACGTGAGAACCAGCCAAATTCATTTTCATTCAACGTTTGCCATAGAGAAACAGTAACAATATTTATCCATTGGAAATTTTGAAAATGACACAGCAACTGCAAATTCTCAAAAAGTAATCAATCCTATAACAACATAACAATCTAGCAGTAATCGTTAGACTAGTCTTTGGCAATATGGGGTCTCAAAATTATTGCACTGGCAACATTGCGTTCATCCACATACAAAAACAAACGCGCAGTCAGCCAACAAGTACTGTGGATGTAGTCTACACTTCCATTTCATGTCATTAACGGTGAACACAAACAAAATCACAAATTCCAAATCACTTTTTTAGAAGAAAATTCAAAGCCAATAAAAGACGGAACAATGTTTCTCCCTACAATATATTTATGTGTAAACAACTGAACAATACATTTAAATGTTGTACGACAGCAGCAGCAGCAGCTCTGTAACATATACAAATGCCATGATGCCAGAAATGTTAAAAAACACTTATCTCTGAAGGAGGCTTGTAGCACTCGAAATCTGCTCGGCATACCCCCCACAATTCAAGCTTACTTGATGCAGCAGAATCCTTGAGAATGTAAGAGCTGCTTCGATAGTCAAGAAATTCTGTGCCTTCTACGCAACACAAAGATTCATGACTGCACTCACAAGAACCTGTCACTGGTAACCTATTATACCAATATAAGATAGGTATTTTTTAATGGTCCAGTACTATTTTCTCCACAAAGTTGATCGTGCCTAAATTAAAACATGAGGCAAAACAAAATTTAAATTTACAATTGTAAATTAATTATGAAACATTCTAAGTGTTGCATATTTTTCACTGATAAAAGAAATTATTACTTCTGGAATGATTATAAAGAAGTTTATTTGCAAAAAAAGCTACTCTGGAACGTCCTCATTCAGAAGCTTAAGTAGCTGAGCACGTTTGAATTTGAGCCAAGAGCTTTCAAGGTTTTACTTAGTCCTTTCCCACATATGCGAGGATACAGTCTATTTGAACTTCCTCATGCATAGTTTCTTGTTCATTAGGTCATTAGGACTGTATCTGACACAGTCACAACTCATTAAGTACCAAAGCACAACTTCAGTAGATGGAACAGTGTTTTAACTATAAAAACATAAGATCATTTGGTGTACATGGCAAGTAAGGGAGAGGTCTGTATCTGTTTCATCTGGGGTGAACATTAGTTACATTTCAAATACGATATAGTTTCTTTGTATCAACAAATAAATTCTGATGTAACACACACAGAACTGCGATGTTGCTTGCAACACGGGGCTTTTACCTGTTAATACTAAACATGCGAAAATCGCCCAGCAAACAAAACTATTCCCAATTTGATGTTCTGGATCACAAAGACAAATGGATGGTTGGCGTTGAATTCTGGGAGAGGCCTTGGCATGCAACGCAGCATCATGACGGCTACTGTGAAGCAAGGAGAAAGTCTTGTCAAATGCTGCAGATGTACACGGTTGGCAGTTCATTTGCTAGCAGTGACCGGTAGTAATAATCTGTAACTGCTTTCTTGAGTGAACAAATATAACAGCTACCCTGGAGACAGTAAAGACTCGAATGGTTTTTATCTTACACTTACAAATGAAGCTAACAGTTTCATCTGCAATGTAAACTGTAAAAGCATGAAACGTGCCAATCATCAGCAGGATGCTACGCAGGCACATCATCAAATCTGTGGTCCTACTCCCAAAGATGATCCCCAGTCTCCTTCAGCCTGTAAAGAATGACCTTGGACTCAAAAGACTCCTCGTGTATACAAAAGATCTTTCTTCTGGTCCCCAATCTGATGCTGAGGACTGTTTACTTTACCCTCTCTTTTGCACGTCCTTCTCTCCCCTTCTGGTGAAGCTGTGATACATCCCCCTCTCCTATTGGCTCCCTTGCCCTCATGCAATACTCACCCCACACCCCACTGGGCCAGCCAAGGTTCCTGTATCTGAAACCAATTCCTCAAGCATGCCTTACTCATTGCCCTAATGACGGGGGCACCTAGCACCTCTGAAACGACGGGACATACTGAAAGAATTATCTGATAGAAACAATATCAAATTGTAAAATATCAGAAAGGAAACCCAGGAAGATCTTCATAGAGATGGAATGATATTAGGCTGATTTATGATCTTGAACAGTTTACACTTTATCTATTTACAATGGCCTTGAACCTGAGACCAATGATTTTAGGCCTAGGTTAATAGGACCAAATAAACTTGGGCCTAAGGTCAAGTGACCTTTGGCTGAAGACCAATGTCCTTAAACATGGTTTAGGTGACACTGAACCGATGGTCATCGAGTTCTTACGTGTGAACAGACAGACAGATTAACGACAGGACGAAGCTAAAGGCACATTACTGCAACTTTTAGTCATGAATGCATCTCAAAGTGGTTCCTCCTATGCAACACATCCACATGACATTGAAATAATTACAAAGCTTAGACCTGTAACTTAGATTTCATGTAAAATTAACAAGATACAAATAGAGAAAAGTTCAGGTTTTAAAGTGAAATACCTTTTCAATTTGTCTAAAAACACCCAAAGTTGTATCAAAATTTTTGTAATGAATCTTCCATACAAGCTTTTAGCAAAATACAAACAAAACATTCAGAACACAAAAGATACAACACATTAACAAACACGCAAAGCATACAAATTAGATTCACCTCTCTTTTTTCAAACATCACCACCTCATATTATTCAATACACATAACAGTCCTCTCTACAAAGATTAAAGCAAATGGTTAACCCGCATTGCCACCTTCACTGGCATCAAGATTTTATTCCTCTAAGTTATGTATTTTATCACCACATTATGAAGACTCCTGAAGTCTCAGTTTATATTTTCTAGACACAGCCATGGTATATAATGCAAGTTTGATGACATACATACTAATTTATGACAACATATTAGTATGGATGGCATCATTTATTCTATACATCGAACCAAATGTTAACACCAACTCTTCGCTCAAAACAAATGCATTATCACAGCTCCTCATGGTGGACAAATCCCCCTGTGGGTTCTGCAAATCTTCCTATAAACATTTTCAAGTCTGTCTCTTTTTCATGGATAGTGAAAATAAATGGATGATTTGCGATGAATTCATAAGTCTCTCTTGACAGGAGTGATCGTTCCACTCTTATAACACCGGCTACAAAAATAGAAAAAATAAAAGAATAAGCATCTGCACGAAGTAGTTCCACAAATACAGAATTAGACTCATTAAATCAATTACGTTACAAGCTGGATGTCACAGTTATACTACGAGTGTCCTTAGGTGGAGATGACTTCTTAGCACAAACATAATGGCATATTTATTAATATCAGAATCAGGCAACCTAACCCTTTTCTTATAAAGACTCCACATAATTACCAGACCTAATGTCACAGCTGACAAAGTCTTTAATATTTTGGTAAAATATTTTTTAATGTTATGATGGTGAGTCAAATGAAAACTTTAACTTTCAATATAGTCCACTTTGCGTTCAATGCGTGTCTAGACACAGCCATGATATATAATCCAAGTTTGATGACACACATACTAATTTATGACAACATATTAGTATGGATGGCATCATTTATTCTATACATCAAGCGAAATGTTAACACCAACTCTTCGCTCAAAACAAATGCATTATTACAGCTCCTCACGGTGGACAAATCCCCCTGTGGGTTCTGCAAATCTTCCTATAAACATTTTCAAGTCTGTCTCTTTTTCATGGATAGTGAAAATAAATGGATGATTTGCGATGAATTCATAAGTCTCTCTTGACAGGAGTGATCGTTTCACTCTTATGACAGCGGCTACAAGAATAGAAAAAATTAAATAAGCATCTGCACGAAGTAGTTCCACAAATACAGAATTAGACTCATTAAATCAATTACGTTACAAGCTGGATGTCACAGTTATACTACGAGTGTCCTTAGGTGGAGATGACTTCTTAGCACAAACATAATGGCATATTTATTAATATCAGAATCAGGCAACCTAACCCTTTTCTTATACAGACTCCACATAATTACCAGACCTAATGTCACAGCTGACAAAGTCTTTAATATTTTGGTAAAATATTTTTTAATGTTATGATGGTGAGTCAAATGAAAACTTTAACTTTCAATATAGTCCACTTTGCGTTCAATGCGTGTCCTCCAGCATTTCACCGATGTCTGGATTCCTGTTTTGGCTACGTAGCCACTCACGAAGTTTCTCCTGCACTTCACCATTTCAGTAAAAAGTCTTTTCACCAACTGCTTCCTTGAGCTGCCCTAAGATATGGCAGTCAGAAGGCGTGAGGTCAGGTGAGTACAGAAGATGAGGGAGGCACTCAAAACGCAAGTCCTCAATGGTCACAGCCATGATGTTCTGATCTGAACGCTGGTTTCAAATGATTCCTAAAGAGATCGCAATATGTGGCAATGGTAACTGTGGTCCCCTTGAACATGTCGGCCTCGGTGATCCCAGAACAACATCAGGATCACTACTCCCACATTTATCTGCATGTGGAATTTTGTGGATTTTGGTAAGGTGGAATGGTGCCATTCTTTGCTTGAATTTTTTATTTCAGGCTAGAAATAGTAGCCCTATGCCAGTCACAATGCGGTGCAGGAAGCCATCACCTTCTGTCTCATATCATCACAGAAGTACTTGGCAAGCGTCCACACGTCTCTCCTTCAGTTCAAGGTCAGTTGCAAACACTGAGGAACTGCAGCATGTCATGGATTATACGGCGAGTTGAAACATGAATTACGTCCAACGTGGCAGCCACTTCATCCGCCATAACGGGACAGTTTTCCATTATGACATGTCGAATGTCAGAAATTTCCTGCAGTGCAATGACTCTGTGGCCTTGTCAAGTAACATCTGACAAACCATTCTTACACTTCCTACTCCATTCGTACACCTGCTGCATACAGTGTATACCTCTAACCACTGCCGATGACTTAGTACGCATAAAGCTGAACATCGTAGGTTCTCGATTTCTTATGCACTTTTAAGGCTTTCATTTGACTTGCCCTCATAAAATGAAACATAGAGAAATAGGGTGGGAGAGTACGGACTGGATTCATCTGGCTCATAATTGGCAATAGTTGAAACCCGCGTGAACACTCATAAACCTTCATATTTCAGAAAGGGTAGGGTATTTGATTAGCTAAAGTAAATATTAGCTTCTTAAGAAATAATCTGCTCCAATATTTATTGGTATTAATTACCGGTTTCATTACCGGCTTCAGAGATCAGCAAACAGCACAAAAAAGTCTCTTTCCTTCAGCGATAAACTAAACTACTGACTGTGTATGACTAGGGAAGGGAACAGAATCTTCAAAAGCATACTTGAAGCTGGATGTTACAACAAAAAAATGCTCTATTATTTGTAATCAAAGAAGACTATGTTAAATTGTGGATATATTAATGGAAACATTTCATCGACTTCCTCAGTCACACCAGATGAATGTCAAGACAGTATCAACTAGTCACCATTTACTGATATTCTATTCCCTTCATAGTTGAAACAGTATCATTAAATCACCTTAAGACATAATTAATGAGATGCATGACATGCATTATCATACTTTTATGACGTCTGTAGTAGGATTTGAGGTTTTAATGGCAGTGACTTGGAAGATGACCGACTTCTGGGTTATAGCACTGTGTAGTATGGAAGAAGTTTAGCAATGTTTCAGATGTCCTTGCTGCCTCCATCATCACTACCCTGATCATGGAGACACCAAGGACCTCCGCAACACGGTGCTACAAACAGTTACCGAGACATCCATCTTCTCAAACATCTGTTTGTAGATGCACCAAGGACCTCTGCAAAACGGTGCTACAAACAGTTACCGAGACAGCCATCTTCTCAAACATCTGTTTGTAGATCTCTATCATGATGTGTGATGTGAGGATCTGATGTTCTTTTTTCTATACACGGAATAATATTTGGTTCTTTAAAAGAATCGCCAGTTTCAGAGTATACCTACAATAAAAATGGTTAATCCGGGATAGCCCTCTGCTGCAAAATCATACCCAAACACTCCAACATACAAAACCAACAGTTTACGTACTGTGAAGTAAAAGCCATACCATATAAAAGCCCTAAAACATCGTATCATCATCTGCCATCCAGATACCACTAGCCCACATTCTTTAAAATGTGAGACGACAAACAAACTCACCAGTAGCTGCTGCTGCCTCGCTTCCCCCCTCGTTCACTTCTATGAACGTCTTCTGCATAACGCTGCTCACAAACAACTCACGAGTGCCAGAGATTCCAGAGAAGTCAGCTTCTTTGGCACTGAACATGCTTGTCATGCCCAACTGTAAGCACAACAGAACGACCCATTCTTCAAGTGCCTTCAGCATCTGCGGATCCCAACTTTACGTTGGCTTGATCTATAGACATTCGGTAGGACTCCTTGGACGAGGGATCGGCCCGTCGCAAGGCCTCTACCTGTACACAGGACAGCACAACACAGAAAGACGCGGACAATAGATAGAGTCCCATCTCCAAAACGTCGTTTTACGTTTTATATTTACTAGACGATGGATAATATCCAAGAAAATTTTTTATTCAATTGACTCTTCACCATCGTCAAGAAGTTTTAGATTTGATATACATTAATTGGTTTTGAAGTTAATAGAAGGGCAGACACAAGCGCATACCTGTTTGAGGATGTCATTGAAGCTAATTGTCTCCTCAAGTTTAAATTTGGGAATTGAGACTCTCACTTCTCTCGTTGGTATATTCTTCAAAACTGTGGAGAGGTCCGCTGTGGCCAACTTCTTCTCTAGTTCAGAGATTCCGTCGATGTCATGTGGCAGAATAATGAACATGCTGATATTTCTATCCTAGACAACATTCAAACAACTGTCAGCATATAATCACTTGCCCAGTATTAAAAATATTATCCAACAAACACTGCAGTTCAATAAGCATTCATAGTACGAGACTTGCTTGGTAAGGCATTTCGAGTATGGCTGCACGCAACTCCTCAGATTCCAAGTAGCCAAAATTAGCTGTTTTGTGCATCATGGGGATCTCCTTATTCTCTCTGCTATTCAAGTGAAACTTATCAGGCTTTGTTTTGTCTGCGCTAAATTGTTTCTCCCAGAGCCCCTTGAAGTAAACAGCGTTCACGAGCACGAGTCTCGTCGTTTCGTCCAGGAGACCTGTAACAGGATTCCTGCAGTGAAGATAATAATCACCAAATTCCTCAAACCGTAACCTGAATTTTAAACCTTTTCAAAAGTGTTGTCCACAAATGGCAAACTTCAATATGCATTTGATTTTAGTTATCAATTATAATAAAAGTGCAAAAATTTACAGCACAGTACAGTTTCCTGCCAATAACTATACTCTACTAAATAACATTACTAGATATTTGAAGATTACCCCCACCAATCACTTCACCAAATAATCCCAAATTGGGCCTTCATAAACCCAGTATTTCAATAGTGAATGATGATGATTATTAACCTTTGAGTTCAATAAAAAAGAGGGAATTTCTTGGCAAGGAAAGTTTTTTTTATCCTACGCCAGACTTTTTGAAGGAAAGCGAGGACTGGGAAGAAGACTGATAAAGCTAACCGACGACCTTAAACAAGGAAAGATGACGACGTTCCAGGACTTAAAGCGAGAAGCCGAGAATAGGGACAACTGGAGAGCTCTTTTTGGGCAGAGCAATGGACCTGTCGTAAGACAGAACACTTAATAATAATAAACGCCAGACTTAAGCCTATTTCTGGCAGCCCAACACAGATTTGAATCGGCGATAAAACCAGTAAAATTTTCCGCAGTATTAATGTCTACGACGTCGCTAAGACCTGGGCACATAGTGAGGCGGGTTCCAATCATATCCAAAAGTCCACACAGTGGACAAGTCCTCCATTCCAATTCGATGAAGATGCTTCTGAAGGTAGTCACGACCCGTAATCATCCTGAAGCACGAAACTCCTACAGCTCTGGGTAAATCCTGAGGAATCCATGGCAAGGCAAGTACATGACATCAACATTTTACCCTAATTATGCAGTAGGTGCTGTTCTGTAATTAGCTATATACATGAAAAAAAGAACAGAACATATTCACCTGAGGGAATCAAGTCTCTGATCTTGTTCCTAGTTTCCTTCTCAACCCAACTGTTGATGATATTCCTGGATGGCTCAGAATCTGAAAAATCCAGCTCCTCGGCTCCAGACAGAAATGAGTCCTTCGCTATCGCCTTGTATTCCGATAAAATCTCAAAACCACTCTGAGAGAATATTTTGTTGGCAATCTCCAATGTCAAACTTCCCGTGCTCTGTGGATTGAAAGAGACAATGCCAACATTTTCACTAATACTTTAGCGAAAAGAGGTAAATAAATGCAGGAACTGAGACTGGTAGATAGTCAGGTGCATTTATTAATTATCCATGTATGTAGCCTAAGGCACATCCATAAAAAGGTCATAATATTTTAAGTAAAAGTGCGCTGACAGACTCGCAACAAGTCCAGTGAGCTTCCCCTTCCTTACCTTAAGTGAACCAAGAATTTCTGCAAAGCCTGCCTTTATGTCTTCTCTGTCTGGGGGCAAGTAGAGAGCTGAAGCTATCTGTTTGGCCGTGCTACCTGCAGCCCCCATGTATGCGAGTGCCAGAACCACTTCCACGCTAAGAGGAGAGATGAATATATTGCCATCTTTGCTGGAAAGAACCTGGAAAAGTGACACAATAGTCTACCTCAGACACGCAATCCAAAAGTCAAGGTAAAAGTTTATTTTATTTATTATTTTTATTTAGTGTTCTGTCTGACGACAGGTCCATATGAACAGGATCCTTCCATCCTTTTCTCGGACTGGGACCTGTTCATATACGTTCTTGGCAGATGATCCAGAAGTGGTTTGACATTGCCTTCTTCTGTGTGTGAATGAAGTAATTGTTGGGATGCCACGGAGAAAAACTCCGTGTTGCCTAGACCACCACAAGTTATAAATTCGAACCCGAGACCCCAGGATTACAAGGCCAGCGTTCTAACCGCTAGACCACCGTGGCTACAAGGTAAAAGTACAAAATTTAATCTCTTGGGACCATTAGTCTGGGGATTGGAATTAGCTCCTTCCAAGGATCCATCAGCTCACATTCTATACCTCAACCAATATGGGCGGGTTCAAGTGTAAGGTGACAGGCCAATGTGAAGGGAAATTGTAAACGCCTTTGTATATGCAAAATAGTAAGAGATGAGCATCATGCGTGCACAACAGATTTTATATCTCAGTCCTACATAATCAAACATGTTTATGCACTTTAATTAGATAATATATAAAATAACTAATCAAAAGCAGGTGAAGTGTACAATGAAATTACGTTTTTTTTATATGATGTCACATGACCATTAAGTATCTTTGATAAAATATATTTATTACATAATTTGTGAAGAAATTAATTGAATCATGTTACCCTGAAAACCATTAAACCCTTCCTATTGCTTATGAAGTGAACAAAAATTACTGACCCGAAATGAGACCTAAAATTTAAATGACAAGAGTTTAATAACATGAAAATAAGAAATATAATCTCTTTTGTGAGACATTATAAATTGCAATATTATCCACTATAAAATACATAAAAGTCATATATTATGGATAAAACATAACTGCATGGTTTTCCACACCCTTCCACATCACCGTAATTCAAAGAACCAACACTTACCTTATAGACATTTGTAGTAAACTGAGCACTTCCTTTGGAAACCTTCAACACAGCCTCAGATATTTCATCTTTCAAGCACCCTTCGGCCATTATTATACCAACTGTCAAGAAACACAAAACTGCAACACAAATAACAATTATTATTACGTAAACAAATTTATTTGCGCGAATTTGAAGAATCAGATATGAAATAGGCGCATCTGATACTCGTTCGAAACATCCAAACTGTGAAAACAAATATAATACTTTCTACAGGTGACTGCATGACACAGAGCATGAAACATACAAAGTGTCCAGCTACTTTATACAAATATTTTGGGTTCTTATTGCTGAGGTCACTCGCAGTCAGAATGTCATATGAACACAGGTCTGATTTTCAACGGTTACAGAGCTACAGATATTTGAAATTTAAGACAATACAAACTAAACAAAGGGCATCATGTTATTCATGCATCTTGTATTATAACAAATTTGATGATGTAATTCTTCTCTCCCGTTTATTCATGTTCACATACCACGGTTTTAACATAACTAGGGGAATGATATCCAGTCACTGTAGCGGCCAATTTTGCAGATTACTACGACCAATCTGATGGTCATGGAACTGTTCATTGAGGTATTCTGTAACATGTCAACTGAAATGTGGGATGCCCCATCATGCTGGAAGTAAAATATCTGGATTGTGGTCTTCCAGCTCATGACACCATGTAGTTTAATACGTATGTGGTTAGGAAGAACATATCACTTCCACAATGGCTGCAGAGTTCTACCACATCGACTACGCTCTGAAGATAGAGGCGATATGTTTGTTAACCATCTATACGACTATACCACAAGTTCACGACATGCAATGGCAAACTACAGATTATTAGACAGCTGTGACACTATGACTATTAAACGTAGCAACCGAGGCATTTATCATGCATACCGAACGGGCCATGCTATGCCACCAAATATCCTCGCTTTATTTTCTAATTTATTTATTTACAAGTTCCAGAAATCCAATAGTGGATATAGAACATGTCACAAACTCAAGTATAAAAGCATAAAATACATACGTTAAAGAATTACATCTAGACAAGCAGCGTACTAAATACAAAACAATATAACTAGTATTTTTTATTGTAATAGTTATCCAATCCACAGTATAAAATAAAACGAGTGAGTAATTAAAAAATGCCTTAATGCAACCTTGAACTTTTTAAGATTATTTGAGATATTCTTAATTTCTATGGGTAATTTATTAAATATATTTATACCCGCATAATGAACTCCTTTCTGATAAATAGTTAGATTAGCTTGAGGTAGATACAAATTTTGTCTCTGTCTAGTATCAATAGTATGAGAGTCAATGTTTAATGGAAAAATAGTTTTGTTTTGTAATACAAACAATGATAAAGAAAATATATATTGTGATGCCAACGGCAAAATATCTAATTCTTTGAATATATTTCTACACGAGCCTCTATTGCCACATCCCATCATTGTTCTAATTGCCTTTTTCTGAAGGAGAAAAATAGTGTAACTATGTGATGAATCAGTACATACTACGAATACTTGGGCATTTTGTCCTGTGACAGAAACCGGCTTCTTGTCATGGTGTAGAAACCATTCCAAGAAACTGACAAATATATGGTATTCAGAACCGGCTGCTATCAAACCGCGTTACCTAAGGAGCTGCCACATTCATGAAAGCATGCTCGATCCCTCCACCTCGCTTTGTAAACATGAGGCATATTCCAATACTCACTGCACAGTACTGTCACTAAATCGCTGTAAATGTCTCAGAAATGTCACATACTCCCACATATAAAACAAATATGGCCTCTCACCACGCCCCAAAGGTCATGTGATAGCACCGAAGCGCTTTCGGAAATTATGACTCCAGGGTTGGTAATAGTTCCACGGCGGTTACGAAATTTCCCGTCCTTTGCACAACCAGAAGGAAATTACTATGCACACAAGAACACATCATATGAAAGTATCCTAAACCAATCGAATTCAGTCCATATCCGCTAACGCATCATTAACATGGCGGGAAATTGAACTGAACTTCGCATAACGCAATTTGGTCTTAATAATCAGTTTTATATATTTAGCCCCACAGGAAATGTTTGTCGAAATAAGCAAAAATCCAGTTAAGCAATTAATTTTTCATGTTCGTCAAGTAAGCTTTAAAAAATCGATTCATTTTTACAGCACGGGGGTTGAGCTCAATAACTGATTTGTGTTCTCATGTAAAGTGAGAACAGGCCAAAAACCACTTCTTACAACATCCTTCCCAATTTTCCATTGTTGAAAAATCGACGTCACAGAAACTTTATAGTTGACATAACTTACAATGTTATCTGACTGAGTAGGCTTGTCCGATAGCAGCGCATTCCATAGGCACATGACTGAAATCGAAATCAGTGAACAGCCTATCCTGACTAAATATATCCATGACATTTCTCAGTCCCTTCTGACGCTTTATACTGACACGCAACACTGGTACGATTTATTTGTCTTTGACAACAGTTTGTCGTTTATAAACCATTGTTGAACAATTTACATAAATTCACGGGGACCGGTTACAGATGTACCTTAAAATACAGATAACTGGTGAATGACTCGCTTTATAAGTAATCTGACTGAGATTTAATCAATACCTCATATCGGTACAGATGTCAATATCAATGTTACCGGTTGTAACATTGTGTACATTTGTAAGAAGATAACAGCATTTTGGAGAAACGCCGTGAGAATTTGTATTAACGTTTCGGTATATTGTCTATGATGGCCACGGTGGTCTAGCGGTTAGAACGCTGGCCTTGTAATCCTGGGGTCTCGGGTTCGATTCCCGGCGGTGCCCGAATTTATAACTTGTGTTGGGCAAGGCCGTGGTCTAGGCAACACGGAGTTTTCCTCCGTGGCATCCCAACAATTACTCCATTCACACACAGAAGAAGGCAATGGCAAACCACTTCTGGATCATCTGCCAAGAACGTATATGAACAGGTCCCAGTCCGAGAAAAGGATGGAAGGATCCTGTTCATATGGACCTGTCGTCAGACAGAACACTAAATAAATAAATAAATAAGTAAAATATTGTCTATCTTCAGGCCGGTAGATGGTCGCATTATGTTTCTCCGAAACGTTGACATCTACAGACGAGTTTACGTAACCCAGAATATCATTATCATTCTCACCGCCGTGAAAACCTCAAATATTTATCGTTCCGGTCTAGTTTACTGAATGCGTCGAGTCACTGAATTGATTCCATTGTCTGTTCAAGATAAACTTAATTATATCAACTTACAGACTACTTTACACACAAACGTAACACGAACTTCACCTGTTAACTGATGTCCCACGAGTAGTAGTGCCTTTCGAAACGGAGCAGATCTTTAGACGATACTAACTCTGACCGGACCGATTATATACTGCAATCGCAAGAGATACAATCGATTCATCCACTCGTGATCTGTGACTCAGAGTTACATCATAGAAATGGCGCTGGACATCTGTTCGTTCAATATTATTTTTCTAGAAATAACTGGCAATCAATACAAATTATAGGAATCGACTGTCAAAATCTGATATCTGCAGTGTAATTGTTTTCTCAGTAATGTTCTCACATCTGCTATGAATTAATGTCAAACGTACAATTTTTAGTTTCTTATGTTGGCAACAGTGTCTGCGGTCTCAGTCTAGCCCACGCGGTCGACTGTTCGAATCCCGCCATTCTACATTTTTTTTCAAAAGATAAGCTAAACTATGCTAAAGGCTAAAGAATATTTTTAATTTGTCATCGAAATACGAACCCAGTTGTCGTCGTGTTTAAAACTGGGAGTAATAAACAAAACTGGAATGGTTCCATATGTTCCATCTGTTTCAACAATCAGTTCACCTTGAATTTTGAATCTACGGGTTTCGTATGATTCTCGCTGTAAACAGTTATCATTTGTTTCAACAGCGCTAATAACTTTGTCTTTGTAATGGTAAAGAGTTGTGTTTACTTTGCGGTACGGACTGAATTCTTAAATATTATTTAGACGAGCTGCAGATTAAAAGAATTAAGGGCCCATGGAAATTAAAAACCATTGATATGATCATAATTCACAAACGATCTGCTGTTTACTTCGTGGTCTCGAATGTTATGATATCCACGCCGTTTCTTCAAGGTCAACCAGATGGTTATGACGCGTGTTAGTGGGAAATGCACACCACCCAGACATTGTAACGCGCATGCTACAAGCCCTGATCACATTTAAACTACAAACGTGAACGTTTGGGGTAGGTAACGTTGAAAGTCAAAGATTATGAGAAGAATACACAGCGAATTCCAAGACTTTATTTAATACTTTGCAAACTACACTGATCGGTTTAATACATGTGAGGTGTTGATGTTTAGATTTATAAAGAAATAATCCTTGAAGAGGATAAGAGAGACACAACACAAACCTCAGTAAAGCTCAAGAGAACTCAGTGCCTGGTTGAAGTTGAAGGCCTGACACTGCTACAGCGCCTTAGGTGTTAGGCAACTACTCTTCGACACGTGTCACGAGTGTAGTTTTATCAAACCTATCCAGGGATGAACGTGCCAGTATATCAAGACGGGAAAAATAAGTTAAAAGATGATAATTGGTCTACCCCACGACGCTTTCCAAGCAGGAAAGTATGCTTTTATATTTGGCGGTTTTCACATCGAATCCAAGAATTTTGGCAGATATATTTTATGTTCCTTATCTGCATTTGACACAAAATTATTACATTGAAATGCGTATATTTAACACATATATACATGTAATAACAATCAAATACAAAGTTTCATTTGTTGTTTAAACAGCCTAACAAGATTCGAACAGCTAAGTCACCTTTAGATGTTTTAACTAACTGGCTTACGGAACCCGAAGGTTCATCACCGAATTAACCAAAGCCCTCCACCGGTCCCTGTCCTGGGCCAACAAAATCCAGTCTCCTTCAACTCCTATCTCCCGTAGATCCCGCCTGAGATTATCCTCCCATCTACGTCTAGGTCTCCCCAGAGGTCTCTTCCCCTCAGGCTTCCCAA